GCCTCTGGTGCGGCCGTGTGTCCTGGCCGCAAGTCTCCACCGTAAGGGCCTGGCTGCCCTGGCTGGGGGGCTCGCGATCTGCTCGCGACAGCTCCAGCTGCGCGCCTGGCAGGGCTTGGCGGGGAAATGCAAGCCGCATGGTTGGCCGCCAGGCTGGGGTCGGATCGTGTCGGGCGGCCTGGGCAGACGCAGCCTTGTGGCCCGATGCACCTATGACCGGAAAGGGGGCGCGTTCGTGGGCAGTTGGCAGAGCACCCTGCGTGGTGTGAGGGGGGGGAGGAGGAGGGGAGGCGCAGCCGATAGCCGCAAAATCGGGCGAATAGAAGGATTGGGGAGAGGAGTCGGGCCTGTGCGTCCGCGAATAGTGGCCCGAGTCGTCAGCCTCAGCCTCTGCCTGGGGATGCTCCTCTGGCACGGCGCGGGGGGAACTGCTCACTATTGGGAGGCCTGTGCCAGGATGGGGGTTGTGCCCATGTCCTGCAGTGAGCGTGCCCTGCGCAGTGAGGAGGAGGAGAGGAGGAGGCGCAGCCGATAGCCGCAAGATCAAATAAATTGAAGGAGGGGAAGGAGGGGTCGGCGATGTGCGCTCGCACGGGGCAGGTCGAGTCCTCTGTGGTTGCTCCTTCCGCATGGGCCTGTGGAGGGTATTTTGTCACCACAGGCGGGGGGATTGTGTTGCCTCCTTCTCTGGATACAGCTCGATCTTCGTTTGGTAATCCTGCCGCAACCGCCCCGCGGGCACGTCCCACGGCCTCATTTCCAACCGCAGGGGACGGTGCGAGAGTGCCCTGCGCAGTAGGAGGAGGAGGAGGAGAGGAGGAGGCGCAGCCGATAGCCGCCATATCAGGTAAATTGAAGGAGGGGAGGGAGGGGTCGGCGATGTGTGCTCGCACGGGGCAGGTCGAGCCATCTGGGATTGTTTTTTCCGCGTGGGCCTGTGGAGGGCCTTCTGTCACCACTGGCGGGGGGAATGTGTTGCCTCCCTCTCTGGATACAGCTCGATCTTCATACGTGGGGAGGGGCCCCTTTCGCTGACGTTCGCCCTCGGGCCTGTGCCCGCCGTCGCTCCCAGGTGCGTCCCCTTTGGTCAGCGCAAGACTCCCCCCGGCCTCTAGGGCGCCGCTGGTTGTGCCGGGCGCGTGCACGCTCGGCGGCACAGCTTCTATAGCTGGGGCGCACGCCGCTTTGCCAGTGGTGTCCTGGGCGCCTGACGAAGGCGTCTGGGGTTCGCCGTCCATAAGCTCACTGACACGGGACGGGGGGCAAATAGGCGCGAAGAGGTTTCTCTCGACGAGCCAGCGTATGGCTTCGTTGTCCTGCGTCTGGGTGGCTGCTCCGTGGTCTCCCTGCTGTGTGCGTGGCTCTCCCGGAGGATTGCTGACGGACTGAATGTCATGAGGGGGATGTTCCGCGGCTTCCGCAGCCTCCGCCGCCTCCGCCGTGACTTCCCACTCCTTTCTTCTGGCCTGTTGGCCCTGCTGGAGGGGGGGGTCGTTGGTGTGAGCTATGCACTGGTCACTGCAGGCTCCCTCCTCTCGATTCCCCAGTGGGACATCGTCGTCTGTCCACGATGCGGGGGGTGGTATTGTGTCCGCAGCCTCAACCGCCTCTCGATTCCCCTCTGGGACGTTTTCGTCTGTCGGCGAAACGGGGAATGGCACGCTGCCGCTGCTGCTGCCGCTATGCTCCGATGTGTCGTTGTGCGTGGCAGGATCCCCGGGGTGGTCGTCAGTCGTTTGGTGGTCGCCGTCGTGGTCGAAGTCGTGGTCGTGGTCGTGGTCGTGGTCGTCGTCGTCGACGCCGCGGTCGTGGTCGCGGTCGTCTTCGTAGCAGTCGTGGTCGTGGTCGTCGACATGGTCGTGGTCGCAGTAGTGATCGGCCCTGTGCGTTCGAGCTGGGCTGTCCTCGTCGTCTCTGGTTGATCTTTCCGCCGCCCCCTGCGGGGGATCTTCTGTCACCGCTGGGGGGGGAAAGTTGGCCAGCCCATCAGGAGGAGGAGGAAAAGGGGGGGAGTCGCAGCCGGTAGCCGCGCAATCAGGTGAATTGGAGGAGGAGAAGGAGGGGTCGGCACTGTGTGTCCGAACTGGGCGGCCCGTGCCATGTCTGGTTGATCTCTCCGTCGTCCTCTGCGGAAGATCTTCTGTCACCGCTGGGGGGAACTGTTTGCCTGTCCATTTGGTGGGGGGACTGTGCTGCTTCCTTTTACGGATTCAGCTGTGCTTTCGTCTGGCAGTCCTTCCCCAATTGTCCTGTGGGTCCGTGCCAGGACCTCGCCCCCAGCCGAGGGGGAATGGGCAGAGCTCGGTGTTCGGGACCCACGAGCCCCAGCGGCGGCAGTGGCGTCCGCCGCGACAGCGGCCGCCACGCCGGTCGCGGCGCCGCCGGCCGCCGCCGCCACCGGAGGGGATCCGGCGGCGGCGGCAGCAGCGGTGGCGACGGCAGCGGCGGCAGCAGCAGCGGCGGCCGCGCCGCCGGCGGCTCCAGGGGCGGCCGCGGCGGCGCCGGCCACAGCGCCCTCCGCCGCCGCCGCCGCCGGCGGGGAGCCAGCAGCGGCAACGGCAGCGGCGGCGGCGGCGGCGGCGGAAACCACCGCCAGCCAGCCGACCGCCTCCGACGGCGGCGGCGGCAGCGGCGGCGGCGGCGGCGGCAGAGGGCCGGAGAGTCCAGGTGCGGCGTCCCGCCGTGCCGCCGCCAGCCGCTGGCGGCGTCGCAGCGCGGCCCCCGAGAGGGCGGACATGGCCCGGGCCCGAGTGCGCACCTGAGAGACCCACGGCCGCACGAGGGCTCACCGTGGGGATCGCGCGAGAAGAAGGAAAGCCTGCTGCAGGCGCGCACGCCTCGTGCCAGCCCCTCGGCTGCAGACAAGCACGAAGCCGCAGGGCAACGGTTTCGTACTTGAGCCAGGCTACGGACCTGGTGGATATACGCGAAGCGTCAACAATTCCGAACCCTACGCCCGCCGCCCATCCAGTTGCCTGAGTCGTTGATCGGCAAGGGTAGGGTTCGGATTTCGCCGCCGACCCAACGATTTGAAACATTTCGAAGCATAAATTTCTCGCCGGTTTTGGCCTCTGAGGGCCCTCGCAGGGCCCCGGGACTATCGAGAAACGACTCTGGGCGTCGGTGGTTTAGGGCGTTTCCTCTTCCACCCCTCCCTCTTCCCCTTCGGGGAGGGGTTTACCCCTCCCCCTCCCCCCTCCCCGTGGACCTGGACAGGGGGGGCCGCGGGTAGTTAGAGCGTCCAAAACGGCCTCGGCGAGGAAGCCAGAATCATTGATTTTACTAGGGTTTGGGCCCCATTTTGGCCTCCTGGGGGGGGGGGGGGGGTAATTAAGGAACCCCCCTTCGTTGACCGATCTCCTCCAAGATGGCCCCAAGAAGCGCCCAGGAGGCCCCAAGAGGTCCCAAGATGGCCCCAAGATGGCCCCAAGAGGCCCCCAGGAGGCCCCCAGGAGGCCCCCAAAAAGACCCTAAGCGGCCCCAAGAGCCCCCCCCCGAGGCACCCAAGACCCCGAAGAGCCCCCCAGGATCGCCAAGAGACCCCCAAGACGTCCAAAGGAGCCAACAATAATCGCCCAAGAGATACCCCAAGAGGCTCCGAGAGGCATCCAAGAGACCTCTGGCCCTTGTGCTTGCCCTCCTCCTCCTGGTCCTCCTTCCTGCTCCTACTCCTTCTCTTCCTCCTCCTCCTCCTCCGCCTCCTCCTCATCCTGTTCATCCTCCTTCTTCCCACTCCCTCATCCATCCATCCATCCATCCACCTCCTCCTTCCATTCCTTTGCACGGTTCGGCCGTCCTCCTCTTTGCTGCCGCACTTCCCTGATCACCTCAACTCGCCTGGGCATCGTTTCTGAATGGGCTGGTGGGGATACTTTTTTTTGTCGCGGCCGCAAGCGAAAGCGCAGGAGGCATCCGAAAGGTCGGGCGGGCTACGCGCGAGCCAAATTATACAGCGACCGAGTGCGGAGTCAGAACCTACCGCCGGCTGGTGGGGATACGCGAAACGTCTAGAATTTCGAAGCATAAGTTTCTCGCCGGTTTTGGCCTCTGAGGGCCCTCGCTGGGCCCTGGGACTGTCGAGAAACGACTCACGATGGAAAGCTGGGCCCGGGGAGCGGGTCGAGACCTCTTGGGGTCGGCGTTGAAGAACATTTCCTGACGTGGGGGGTCTGGGGAGGGGGAAAAAGAGTGATGCACCCTTTTTCCATCACCGCTACCGTATGTAGGGGAGGAGGAGGAGGAGGAGAAGAGGAGGAAAAGGAGCAGGAGGAGGAGGAGGAGGAGGAAGAAGAAGAAGACGAAGAGGAGGAGGAGGAGGAGGAGGAGGAAGAAGACGAAGAGGAGGAGGAGGAGGAGGAGGAGGACGAGGAGGGGCAGGAGGAGGACCTCATCCCCCCCTCTCCCCCGGCCTGCATCTGGTAGTGGTGGTGGAAAACCTGCCCTCCTCGGTCCCGTCCTCGTCCTCGTCCTCGTCCTCGTCCTCGTCCTCGTGCTCGTGGTGGTGGAAAACCTGCCCGTCAAAGAGTACTCGAGTTTCGAGGTTCGGCGTTCGAGGTCTGCGGGCCTCTTCGGCGGTTCTTCCGCCTCGGTGCGCCCTGTCCAGCGGCCGCGCCTCGCACCTGGATCGCCCCGAACGGCCGCCAGAGAACCAGGGCATGACCTCAAAACCAGGCAACTTCGACACCTCACCCTCCTCGTCCTCGTCCTCGTCGTCGTCGTCGTCGTCCTCCTCCTCCTCCTCCTCGTCCTCGTCCTCCTCCTCCTCCTCCTCCTCCTCCTCCTCCTCCTCCCCGTCCTCGTCGTCGTCGTCGTCGCCGTCATCCGCCTCCTCCCGTCGCCATTCTGGCTCAAGCCAGTCGACATGAGCAGTGCGTGGGCGGGGCTTCGGCGAAAACTCTGGGCGGGCCTCCCGGGCTTCGGCGGGTTGGGGCCCTCCGGCCTCGAGGCTCGCAAAGTCAAAGCCATTTTGCCCGAATCCGACGTTGATCGCGGGCTCATTTCTCGCTGCGAATGCCACTGATCGTTTCTGGTGTGCTCTGGGTTAGGGGACTGGAAGAAGGGGAGTAAGCAACCCGAGCAGGACATGGGTGCAGCGGGCGTCGGGCAGAGAGCAGAGCTGGACTGAAGGGAAGAGGGAAGGCATACGTATCACTGTGCAAACACAGCGACCGAAAACCTCTATTCCTTTCAGCGTCCACATGACACTGTTCGGCTAGCGCTGTGGCCATTGCCCAGTAGTGCTTCTCCATCGGTGTCGTACTGTCCTCATCGGCGAAGCTAGACGAGCCCATACGGAACGCTTCCACCATGAGGTCCAGCTTCGCCTTCCTCATGGTCATTCCGTCGACGAGCATGGCTGGGTGATCCATCCACCCGACGGATCTCGCAGCCCAACGCTTTCATGGCTTATCGGATGATATGGATCTGAGTAGCGCACTTCCTGCCATGGCCATCTGCAGTCTCTCGCTGGAGGTGATCGCACAGAAACTTGGCATCCACCACGCATAGGCCCTTCTGCAGGAAGTAGGCGTTCTCATCCGCCTCGTTGCGTCCGGCACGGACAGTAGCCGTCTCTGCTCACACCAGCGCCCCCACTCGTCTAGGCGAAACCCTGCGGCGACGCCGGTGTTCAGGGACAGCGTGACAGTCTAGACCAACTCGCGGCGCAGCGTGACAGTCCAGCCCAACTCGGCGACGCCGGTGCTCAGGGACAGCGTCTCCGCATGTAGAGTAGGATCCACGACTCGGTTCATCCTCGAGCTCCTCCAAGCCAACAGACTTGCCGGCTGCCTCTCGCGTTTGCTGATCGCCGAAGTCGCATCCAAGATCGCGCGCGCCCTCTGAGATCCGCCTTCGCTGCTGTCGTGAAGGCTTGCGTCCGAGATAGACACCCACATCAGCTCTTCGAGTGGTATAGACCACACTGTGATGCCCAAATCTGCAGCGTCCGTCATGTGCTTCAACAGCTGGTTGATCTCCTTCACGTCCTCGTAGGTTCAGTGGCGCAGCGCCTGCTGTAGTAGACTGCATCTGCGACTTCCACCTGCTCGCGACTCCCGCGTCGGCCAATTCAGACCCTAGCGCAGATCAGGCCCGACTGCGCGCGCTCGCCAGGCGAACATGCACCCTGAGGCCCGTGGCCCTTGCCGACGGGGATGGGCGACAGTCTCTCCTGTGTGAGCTCGCGCATGGTCACATGAAATTATACTCGCGGTCGTGGGCGTCGCGCCTCCCTCTGAACATGGCCCCCTCCTTCTCGTCCACCAGAGACTTCGCCTCGCCGAACTTGCGCTGCTCACGCAGCATCCTCATCTGCTCCGGATGCCTCGGGCCACCATCGTCGAAGACGTCGTCGACCTCTGCAACCACAATACCTTGAACATCGGGATGAGCTTGGATAGCAGCGCCTCCAGCCGGCTCAGCTGTCTGGGCCCCATGTTGGGCAGCCCTGCCTTCGGCTGCTCGGCGTGGAGCCCCTGTTCCCCCTCGCTAATTTATCGGACTGCCTGAAGACCTTCCACAAGTCCCTACGTAATCGTAGCCATCCACTTGTCGGACGCGGCAATCTGGAGCACCATCATCAGAGAGCTCGCGGAAACAGAGGGGGCCGACCTCGCCAACAACAGGAAGTCAGTGTCTCGGTCCCCGCGAACGCACCATCTGCTCTTGTAGCTAGCGGGCTCCCCCCTGACCTCGTACGGTTTCTTCCTCCTCACCATGCGGGATGGCATGATGCGTTCCTCCTTCCCCTGGCGTTTCAGCGCAGCTCGAACCTTCTGAGTCTCCTCCACGACCAGTACCTTCACCCCACCGGTAGACAGCGCGCCCTCCCACTCGCTGCACGTCGGACTTGAACTCGCCCTTGGGAATGTGCCGCTCCTGCACCGCATCGCCTCCGCGCTTCTAGATGAAATGCACGTCCTCGTCGGCGCTCTTTGGTTGTCGCCCGGATGAAATAGATATCCTCCCCATGTACCCACTCGCCGCTCGCCAGATCCTCATCTGTCTCGCTAGGAATAACGGCGGGGCCTTCCAAATCCAACCTCTGGTTTTGCTTCGCCGCCCTCTGCGCCGCAGCCTCGATCCTCCTTCGCGCGGGTTCAGGTCCCCCTCGGGCTTCATCTTCCAGCCGATTAACCAGACCTCGTCCCTGGCCTTGGATGTCGACCTCCATCCCAGGTGTGTCTGGTACTGCCGCGATGCTCCTCGCTTCAGCTTCAGCAGCTCGTCGCGGGAGCTCCGCGCCCTCCTCGATGTCCTCGCCCACGCGCCGCACGTTGCGCTCAGACTCCGAAGGCTCGTGCAGAGCCTCCCGGAAAACCTCTTCCTCTTGCTCTGCCTTGTCGCTCTCCTCAGTCTCGCCCTGCTCCGGAGCGCGCGGCTCAGGCTCGTCGTGGCATTCCGCGGTTTGTGGGCTTCGGCTCAATTGGGGCCGCAGTCGCCTCTGGCTCTTGCACTGGGGGCGGCGGCTCTTCTCGCGGGCGTCGTCGCGACTCTTGGGCAGGCTCACCGGGCGCGCGACACTCGCGACCGCCATCCCAAGCCCGCTCTGGGGGGGCCCCTCCGCTGAGATGTTCTGGAAGCCGCGCCACTTGTTCCTCTTGCTCATTTGCTCCATTAGGTCGTCTTAGTGGGAGCTAAGGAGCTCGGCTCCTCGACGCTCATCACTGGTCGCCAGCTTGCCCTGCTCCAGCCCGCACTGCCACAGCTCGCCAATGTGGTTCGCCCTCGCAGATCCGCCCGTCACCACAAGTGCGACGCACGGGCCCACCCATCTCCTTCTTGTAATCTGGATACCACTTGTCACCAGCACCCTTCGCGAACTTCCTCCGCGCCCGCGCCCAATCGCCAGTTTGCACGTGCACTCGGGGGCGAGCCCCACTGGGCAGCGCGAGCTTGATGGAGCTGCCGAAGCCCGCGCGCACGCTGCACCTCGGCACCTGGATCTCGCGTGGGTAGTCGGGCGCCCACGTTGTCGTCGGACAGGAGACTGCCCGGCAACCGAGGAAGCTGCCCCAGCACTCGCTGCGCGGGCGCCACACCAGAGCGGTTCACTTATCAGTTCTTCGCCGCCTCGCACGCCAGGGCCAGAGCCTCGGCATCCTTCTCGCTCTCTGGGGGCTCGAGCTCGCACGCCTTCGCAGATATATATATATATATATATATATATATAGCCCTGAAGCGCCTCCTGGCTCGCTCGGTCTTCGCGTTCCCACGCGGGGCCCCGGCGTCGATGGTGGACGCGAGGCGCCCCTGCTCAGCAGCTCGATCAGCAGAGGCGCCCATGAATTCCTTGCCCGCGTCCACGACGAGAACCCCTGGCGGACCGAGCGCCCGCAGCCAGCACCTGCAGAAGGCAAGCCATACATTCCAAGGAATATTCTTCCCCGTCGGCACTCTCTAGGACATCGAGTTGTGCGCGCCCCGGTCTGTCACGTTCAGGCAGCGCGCGCCTTCGCGGTTCCTCAACCACCCTGAACTGGCCATTCGCGCTCTCCGCGTCGTCCGCGCACAGCCAGTGGACCTTCTGCCACTCAAGGTAATGCGCTGGCCTTTCCTGGCTCGGAGCTCTCGGCAGCTGATTGGCGCTGCCGCCCCCGTCAGCTGGCTCATGCGGCCCGGCGCCTCCTCTGCGCCCTCGCCGCCGCTCCACCCGCGGCGCATTCCCCTGCGCGCGCCGCAGAAGATGCCCATGAGCGGCCGCGCAGACGCCGGGAACACCAGGCTTGCAGCGGAACGGGCCCATCCCTTGCGCGCCGGGGTGCGAGCTCGATGGAGCGGTCTGCACCTCCGTCAGATATGGACTTGCAGAAAACAACGCTGGCCTCTGAGGCCAAATCCTTGCTACCTTGGCTCAAATGGCTAGCATAATGGAAGTCTTCATCGCGATGCTCGCGAGCCCCTGCTGGATCCTTCCATCCCTCGGCCCTGAACTCAACCGCCGAGACCGCCGCGCCCCCCGCGCCAACCTCTCTCATGGGGACCTCGGGGCCCGCTCGCTTCAGGATCACCCTCGTCGCATCGATGCTCACAAGGGCCTTGAACTTCAAGGGCCTCCAGTGGCAGCATCGGAACGCAACCCTCTACAATGGCGAGCTCCAGATGCCCGCGGGCACCTCCGACCTCTAACGGCACAACAACCAGTCCTACCGCGTGGGATTCACCCCCTACTCCCCGGGCTCGGGCTGGCTCTCTTACCCGCTTGATGTTAAGTCCCTGCCCACGCAGTGCACTGGCGAGTTGCCGAAGAGCCCCCGCCCCAATCAGGCCCGATTGGGCCGCGGCGTCTACCGGGGCCCTTCCACCCCCAAGAGGTAGCCCACGCCGCGGCTCGGATTCCCCCCCTTCAGCTTCGCGACTCTCCTCAGACTTGAGATGCCGCGGGGGACCTCGCCCCAGCTTCTCCTGAACCCTCGACGAGCACCCAAGATCAACATCTCCCCGATCTTCACCCCCAGGAGCTCCCGGCACGCAAACCAGCGCTGGCCGGTCTCCGAGACGTCCCAGATGATGGACCCGGTGAGGCTTCCTCGAGGCTTCAGGGTCTCGATGAGGATCGGCGCGATGCATCTACTTCGACTCGCACTCAAAGAACTCCCCCTCGCAGGCCAGGCTAATCTCCTCGCCGCGCGCCATCACACCCACGAAGAAGCCGGTCTCGTACTTTGCTGCTGCCGCGGCCCCGCGGGCGCCCTGCGAGTCGCTGCGCTCCCTCGCCCAGCAGACCACCTGTCCGCAGCGCGCGCGTGGCGCGCAGTTTGCTCGCATCGATGTGCACCCTGACTTACCTGCCCTGCCCGTCCTTGCACTTCGAGCCGGTGCCGAACCTGGCCGCTGGCGCAAGTGGAGATGGGTGGCGGCCGCCGAGATGTGTTCCTCGTCGCCCTGACCGCCGCTGTCCTCCACTGTCGGGAGGTTCTCGGCCTCGCTCTGCTCGGGGTTGCCGTCGTCGCCGAAGCACCGACGGCCCCCCTTGTCGGTCGTCGCTTTGTCCAGGCGGCGAAATGTTTTGATCGCCTCGTCTTCCCTGGAGCTGCTGGCGGTCCAGGTCTTGATAAGACCCTCGCCCTTGTCCCCGAGCTTCGCGCAACGCAGCATGATGCAACCGCGCGCCTCTGCCAGTAACTGCGCACTTTCTCGCTTCAACTCATTGAATCTGCCGACCACCGGCAACGCGCACTCGAGCATCGACTGGCCCTTTTAACGGCAGGACGCGCAGACCGCCTCCTCGAACGCCCGAGGCATGCATGCTCGAGGTGCGGCGCGGAAGCCGCGTGCAGGATCTGAGCGATGTTGTCCAAGCCGCTCTCGGACGTGATCTCCCCGACCTCCATGTCCGCGATGGCCTCTTTCGCGCTGCTGGTCGGCCTCCGCGTCAGCTTCGCACCCCCCTTCGCCTTGGGAGCGTCCGTAGTCGTAACCCACAGCCTGAGCTCCTTCCAGAACTTATACGTACTCTCTGGTTTGACGCCATCGTATGCAGGCGGTGGGTCCTTGTCCTTGCCGAATGTCTGCGCGCTCTCCTCGCCGTCAGCGCCGTCCTCGGCCGGCATGACGCTCCTGGGAGCCAGTAGATCTCACCGGCTCCGCTACCACTGTGAATGCCATTGGTCGTAATGGTGTAATATCACGTGCTCCTCGCAGTAGGCTCGATTCCCACTTGTACAGCACGCAACGGAAAGAGGCGCTCCCAATGAACGTGTGGGAAAGTGGAGAGTAGAGGACGTTACTGGTGTGCTCTGGGTTAAGAAACTGAAAGAACGGGGGCAAGCCAACCCGAGCAGGATATGGCTGCAGCGGGCGTCGGGCAGAAAGCAGAACTGGGCCGAAGGGAAGAGCGGAAGCATACGTAGCACTATGCAGACACACCTGCCGAGGTTGTTTCGGCAAATTCAGTGCTGGCATATGAACCAAACACAAGGTTCGGCTGTCTCCCAAAGCCCGTGACAAGCGCCTGGCGCAAATGTTGGTCGAGGAGTGTGGCCACTGGATTGTGCTAGTTAGCTCTCTTGTGACTTCGCTTGACACCGTCACGATGAGACCTGGGGCCACAGCTCGTCAGGCCCCCGGGAGCCTGGTGCAAGTCTACTCTGAGCTCGGCCACGAGCTCGTGTGGGCCCCAGGGGGCCGTCTGATGCGTGCGGTGCCGAGTGCCGTCCAACTCGTCCTCGGGGTGCCCTGGCTCGGCCATTTCTCAGGCGATCGAGGCCAATCGTCAAGCGGGCGCGATCGGGGCGGCGGGCCATAAGGTGGTCCACTGCCAGGCCTCCGCGGAAAGCGATCTCGCCCCCACTTTGCGCAGCCGCCGCCCTTCCCGAGGAGAGCGGTCGCCCCCACTCTGCGGCGGTCGCACGCGTGTCGTGCGGAGCTGCAAGCTCCCGCCAACTCAGGGGCCTCTCTTTCGGCCATGCAGAAATCCTGGGGCCCACGGCCAGCGAACCAGCAGGGCTTCGAAGGAGGGGGTTGCGCCTCGTGTGGTAGAAGGGGCCGAGATCGAGCCGACAGTGGATGCGATCGAGCAGGATGGCGCAAGGCGTGGGCTGCCTTGTGCATCGATGAAGGGAGGGGGAGGAGGAAAAGGAGAAGGAGGAGGAGGAGGCCGAGGAGGAGAAGGAGGAGAAGGAGGAGGATGCTTAGGAGGAGGAAGGGGGATAAGACGAGCAGGAGGAGGTGGTGGAAGAGGAGAAGAGGGGAAGGAGGAGGAAGAGGACAAGAGGAGGAAGAGGAGGACGCAAGCTAGGTGCGCTCGCGCCTCATCTGACGTTCTACCCCTACCTCCCATCCCTTCCCATTGCGCTAGTCATGTGCCATCTCACTGAATCGGGTATCGAATCAAGCCTTCATGCCGAGATGGGCCAGACGGGGGCCACGAAGCCTTGACACGCAGACCGATGCCGAGGCCTCGAGGCCAAGGCTGCAGCGGAACGGCACAGCGGGACCTTTACTCTGAAGGGCAAAAAGCAGATTGAGGTCAACGCGACAGCAGGATCTCCATTAAGAAAGACTGCGGACGCGGATACGAAGCCATTGCTGTAGCAGGGGCGCCATTCTGGAAGGACCAAGAACGCGGAAATAGTGCCGACGCTGCAGCGGGAGCGCCATTTTGGAAGGAGCACAACCGGTCGAATTGAAAAAGCCCATCAGAAAAGCTCCTCTGCGCAACTCATCTTTAGAGAACCAGTACGCGGAGAGATCGAATTGAGAAACACGTAAGAAAAGCTTGGCCGCGCAAAGTTGTGAAAAAACTATGCGCGGAGGGAGGGCGGCTACGCTCAGCAAGTACTCGGGGGAGAAAAGAGAGTAGTACTCTGATTGTGTCATGGTAAAAGGAGGAGGGGAAGGAGGAGGAGGGGGAGGAGGAGGAGGAAGGGAAGGGAGGAGGTCTGGAAGGAGGCATTGCGCGGAGGGGAGGAGGAAGGGGAAGGAGGAGGAGGAGGTCTGGGACACGGGGGGGGAGGAGGTGGAAGGGGAGGAGACCTGGGATGAGAAGGAGGAGCGCCCGACCACGAGGGAGTGACCCAACTCGGACATGCACAAAAGAACAAAGGGGGGTCGGGCGAGGTCGGGATCCTCATCCACCTCCGAATGAGGAGGAGGAAGAAGGGAAGAGGGAGGAGGAGGAGGAGGAGGAGGAGGAGGAGGAAAGGAGGAGGAGGCGAAGGAAGGGGAGGAGGAGAAGGAGGTCTGGGAGGAGGAGGAGGAGGAGGAGGAGGAGGAGGAGGAAGGGGAGGTCTTGAAGGAGGGAGGCGCGAGGGAGAAGGCATTGCGCGGCCGCGCGGCCGTGTCCTCACACGGGACCAGCGCGCCGGCGACGCCGTCGTCGTCCTGCGGGTTCCTCGCGCGCACAAGCACGCGCGCGCGCGCGCCGTCAGCTGCCAACGACCGCTGCCGCGCGGGAGCTGGGTTCGCGAGATGCAGTCGCTGCCGCCGGTGTACCTGGTCATCCGCCCTCCCCTTCTCCTCCTCCTCCTCCTCCCCCTCCTCCTCCTCTTCTTCCTCCTCCTCCTCCTCCTCCTCTTCCTCATCCTCCTCCTGCACCTTTTTGTTCCGCCTCCGCCTCCTCCTCCTCCTCCTCCTCCTCCTCCTCCTCCTCCTCCTCCTCCCCCTCCTCCCCCTCCTCCCTCTTCCCCTGCCCCTGCTCCTTCTCCTGCACAAGGGTCAGATCCTCCTTCTGAAACTCCTCCTGCTCATGCTCCACCTCCTCCTCCTCCTCCTCCTCCTGAGGCTCTTCCTTCCTCCTCATCCTCCTCCTGCTCTTCCTGCTCTTCCTCCTCTTCCTCCTCCTCCTCCTCCACACCTCCTCCTCCTCTTCACCTCCTCCTCCTCTTCACCTCCTCCTCATCCTCCTCCTGCTTCTCCTCCTCATCATCATCATCATCCTCATCACCACCACCATCAGCATCTTCATCAGCGTCAACATCATACTCAGCATCAGCATCATCAGCATCAGTATCATCATCACCACCACCACCATCAGCATCATCATCAGCGTCAACATCATAATCAGCAGCATCATCATCATCATCATCATCATCATCATCATCATCATCATCATCATCATCATCATCATCATTATTATCATCACCATCATCATCACCATCATCATTTTCACCATCATCAGCTTCAGCATCAGCATCCTGAGCATCATAATCATTAACTTCATCATCATCAGCAGCATCATCATCATCATCAGCATCATCATCATCATCACCAGCATCATCACCAGCATCATCTTTACCGACATCAATCAGCATGATAATCGGCATCATAATCAGCATCATAATCATCAGCATCATCAGCTCCTCACAATCACGACCATCGATATCAATCATCGTCCACATCATCAGCGGGATCAGCAGCATCACAATCGTCTCCATCGTCATTATCATCCAGCACCGTCATCGTCATCACCATCGCAATCGTCATCATCGTAGTATTCGTCATAATCATCCTCATCGTCATCGTCATCGTCACCGTCACCACCATCATCATCGTAATCAGAGTAGCCATCATCGTCATCATATCATTGCCAACGTCATAAGCATCACAGTGGGCATCGTCATCATTGTCATCATCATCATCATCATCATCATCATCATCATCACAATCAGCAGCATCATTATCGCAATCGAAATGATCACCATCATCACCATCATCATAATCATCATCCACATCAGCATTATCATCATCGACGTCGTCGTCATCACCGTTAACAAACATCATCATCATCATCATCATCATCATCATCACCATCATCAGCATCATCATCAACATCGTCATCATCAGCATCATCATTGTCACGGTAAACATCATCATCATTATCATCATCAGCATCAACATCATCATCGTCGACGTCGTCGTAACCACCGTTAACAATCATCATCATCATCATCATCATCATCATCATCATCATCATCATTATCATCACCATCACCATCAATCATCGTCGTCGTCCTCGACATCATCGTCGTCGTACTGAGCATCGCCACCTTCATTATCATAATCATCATCATCGTCGCCATCGTCATCATCATCACCATCATCATTACCAGCAACATCATTACCCTCACCCTCATCCTTATCCTCATCCTCCTCCTCCTCATCATCACCATCCTCGTCACCATCATCAGCATCGTCATCATCATCGCCAGGATCTTCGCCACCTATCTCCCTCCCAGAGCTAAACATGTTTAACAACAAAAAAGGCTCTAACACCGGTTTAACAGTCGCCCGAAACAGTCCTGGAGGCCAAAGGCGCCAGGAAGGGCAATCGGCCATCGGACCCGCCAGACTGCACGCCAGGAGAACGACTGCAATCCAGGAGAAGGAACTGAGGATGTCGTACATGGCAATGTTAATAATGCGACCAACTGATTTGAAAACGCGAAGAACAAGCAGCTCAAAGCGCAAACAAAAATGAATAGTGTTCTTCGCATTGTTAGCTTCCCTGTTGGGGCCTGAAAGCGATAACAAAAATGAATTCCAACACGCCAAATTGAAAGCGGTAAAAAAACGCCCTGGGCATGTTGAAGGAAAGCCAAGATCATGATCACCATCAGCAGCACCATCATCATCATCATCATCACCACCAACACCAATCATAATCATGACTACCAGCATCATCACCATCATCATCATCATCATCATCATCACCACCACCATCATCATCATCATTGCCATCATCATCGCCATCACCATCACCACCGTATCATCGCCATCGCCATCATCGTCATCATCATCATCATCCTCATCATCATCACCACTACCATAATCAAGCATCAACACTGGCATGGTCCTCATCATCATCCTCCTCATCATCCTCATCCTAATCATGATCACTATAATGATGATCATCATCGCCGTCTTCATCATCATCATCATCATCATCATCATCACCATCATCGATAACATCATCATCACCATCACCATCATCAGAATAAGCATCTCGATCACCATCCAGTCATCATCCTCATCATCATCATCATGATCATCATCATCAGCATCTACACCATCATCATCATCACCACCACCACCATCATCATCAGTATCATCATCATCATCATCATCATCATCATCATCACGATCATCATCATCACCATCATCATCTACTTCATCATCACCATCATCACCACCGATATCGTCAATTTCATCTTCGAAATCCTCATCATCAGCACTACCGTCACCATCATCATCGCCAACATCACAGAAGTCATCATCATGACCATTGGCATCGTCGACATCACCATCATTATCATCAACCTCAACATCATTGTCATCGTCAACGTCATCACCATCATCACCATCATCATGATCGCCATCATTATGCACCTCATCATTATCATGGTCATCAAGATCATCATCACCAATCAGCATCATCAACAGCATCAGTATCATCATCGCAATCATTATCCCATTCATCGTCACCAAGGTCATCATCATCATTATCAGCATTATCATCATCATCATCATCATCATCATCGCCACCACCATGACCATCATCAGCAGCACCGTCGTCGTCAATTCCATCATCAGCAGCATCATCAGAATCATCGCCACCATCATCAGCGTCAGCTTCGTCATCATGACCAGCATCGTCGTCGTTATCCATCATTATCGCCATAATCACCACCATCATCATGATCACCATCGTCATCGTTATCATCACGTCAATATTCGGCATCGACCTCGTCATCGTCATAGTCATCCGTATCATCAGCATCATCAGCATCAGCATCAGCATCAGCATCATTATCATCATCATCATCATCATCATCATCATCATAGTCGTCATCATCATCATCATTATCATCATCATTACCATCATCAGCATCACCATCAATCATCATCGTCATTTGTCAGCGTCGCCGTCATCATCAACATCACCATCGTTATAAACATCATGACCAAGGTGGTCCCCGTTATCGTCATCTTCATTAGTCATCGTCATCATCATCGACATCATCATCAGCATCATCATCGGCATCATCACCAGCACCAACATCATCATCATTATCACCACCATTATCATCATCGTCATCAGCATCATCATCATCATCATAATCATCACCATCATCATCATTATCAGAACCGTCACCGTCACCATTATCATCGTCACAATCGTCATCGTCAGCATCATCGCCATCATCATAAGCACATCATGAAATCATCGTCAAAGCAATCATCTACTATCATCGTCATCATCACCACCAACACCATCATCATCATCATTAGCAGCATCACCATCATCATCATCATCATCATCATCAGTACAAGCATCATCATCAGAAAACACAATATCACGATCACCATCACCATCACCATAATCATTGCCATCATCGTCATCGTCACCATTATCATCATCGTCATCGCAATCGCCATCGTCATCGTCATTCTCATCATCATCACCACAACCGCCACCATCATCATCATCATCATCATCATCATCATCATCATCATCATTATGATAATCATCACCATCATCACCATCATCACCGTCAATCATCATCAACACCGTCACCATGAGCACAATCATCATCAGCGTCATTATCATCACCATCATCACCATCACACTCGCCATCATCACACTCGCCATCATCATCAGCATCATCATCCTATGCATTATCGTTACCATCATCATCATCAGCATCATCAGCGTCATCGCCATCGTCGTCATCGCTATCGTCGTGTCGGGCCGTCCATCGTCATCGGCGGCGGCGAGGCGCCGCGGCGGCGGGGCGGCCGCGCGGCCTTGCGACGGCGCTGGTGCCAAGCCCGCCCGGGACGCCAGACAAAAGAGCGCCAGCCTCCACCGGTCAGGGCGGCGGCGCGTCCGCCGCCATTGGCGGGGCGCCGACGACGACGACGACGATGACGACGACGACGACGGTGACGACGACGACGACGCCGCCGACGCCGCCGCCTCCAACACCGACGACGACGACGACGAAAACGACGACGGCGACGGCGACGACGACGACGACGACGGCGCCGACGGCGCCGCCGCCGCCGCCACGGCGGGGTCGTCGCGCGGCCGTCGCCGCCGCCGTCGAGTTCGTCTGCGACGCCCTGGAGTCGTCGGCGCTGTCGTCGTCGTCGTCGTCGCCGGGTTCGTCGTGGTCCTCGTCGTCGTAGTCGTCGTCGTCGTTGTAGCCGTTGAACCCCTCGCAGAAGGGGAAGGAGGAAGGTAGGGAGGGAAGGGGCGAAAGAGAAGGGAGAAGAGGGAGGAGGATGAGAGGGAGCACGACAAGCGGACGACGGCGACGATGACGGCAACGAAAGGTAGGATGAGGAGGGGGGAGGAACAGGAGGAGGCACCTTTGCGTAGTCCTTTTTGCGTCGTCGTCTTCGTCGTCGCACCCCTCCTCCTCCCTTTCCTACATGGACTTTTCCTCTCATTTTCACGCATGCTACTGCCAGTGGCGCGTCAATCAAACATTGCAATCGTACGTCGCAAGCCTGACCTCCTCCTCATCCTCCTCCTCCTCCTCCTCCTTCTCCTCCTCTACTCCTCCTGTCCGTCCTTATCCTCATCCACTTCCTCATCCGTCTTTTTCCCTCCTCCACCGCCGCCGTCTCCTCTCCACCTTCCTTCTCCCACCTCCTACGTCCACCTGCCCCGTCCCAACTCCCTGTCCCTCCTCCTGCGCATTTCTCCCCGACGGTGCCTCCGAAGCCTCCGGGGCTGCCCGGAGGTCCACTCTGGCACGAGGCACCGCCCAAAAGCTCGACCGGCGCATCGACCTTCCTCGTTCCTCGCTTTTCGCTGCTCTCGAACCTCGATCCCCTTCGCCTCTTTTTCCTCCTCCTCCTCCGCCTCCTCCTCCTCCTCCTCCGACTCCTCCTCCTGATTTCCGATCCTCCTCCGTCTCGTCCTCCTCCTCCTCCTCCTCCTCCTCCTCTTCCTCTTGTTCCTCCTCCTCCCCTTCCACCCCAATTTCCTTATAGATAAATTCTCCGTGTCGCACCCCGAGGCCAGTTTTTAGAGCGGGCCGGGCGTTTCTCCTAAGACATCCTCACCATTCATGCCCCAGAAGCTTCAAAATTGGCAACAATCTCGCAGATGGAGGGCGGGTGGTTTTCAAACTGTGGTTCTCGCCTGAGCGCCGCGCACATTCGTTTGTCAAAGTGTGGTTCTCGCCACAGTGCCGCGCATATTCGTTTAAAAATTTGCAAGAGTTTCACGAATTGAGGGAAACCTGTTTTCAAAATGTGGGTCTCGCCTCAGCGCCGCGCGCACTCGTTTGAAAAAGATGCGAAAATTTCACGGATTGAAGCCGGCTCCTTATCAAAAACGCGGTTCCCGTCTTAGCGCCGTGCGCACTCGTTCTTAAATATTGCAAGAATTTCATGGATTGTGGCCGGTTCCTTTTCCAAATGCGGCTCCCGCTTCAATGCCACGCGCATTCGTAAAATTAAATCTGCACGTGTTTCACGGATTCGCATGATCAAAATACCAGAAACGGTGTTTTGGGAGGATTCAGCATTTTGAGGGCGCAACAATTACGTTCGTTCGCGGTGGTGGAATCCCCGAAATGGCATTCTGTCACGATTCAGGAACGTCAAAACGCGAAAATCAGGTTCATCCGTGGCGTTGGAATCGCGAAAACACTGTTTTGGCATGCTGCAGGGTCTTTGAACGGTTGTCTTCCAACTAACCAATTCCCTCAATGGAAATGAACCGCTGCATGGGCCCAGTAAGAGGGAACTTGGAGGGAGGGTTCATCCCAACATCGTTGATGACTCTCGGGCTTACACTTGTCCTCCTACTTCTCCTCCTGCTGCTCCGCCTCCTCATCCGCCCCCCCCTGCCTAGCAGGTTCTCTATTCATCATGGAGTCAGGGAAGGTCTTGATGCGGTCAGATCGGTGCTTGATGTGTTTGCTCAACCTTATTCAGGGCCCCGTAGACCTGGACACGCTAGACCCGGACACCCAACATCCCTCGAAACCAATTTTTCCAAACGGCAGCACGAACAAAATACTGCACTGCAGCATTTCCAGAATAAACCCAGACACAGGCCACAAAAGCCTGCAATACCCCCCTAAACCCGGACACAAACCCGAATCCTGCAGCGCAACAAACAAAACATGCACGGGTGCTGAAAAACGTGACTTTGCAGGAAAGGACGTCGTTTCTTTGGTTTTCCGTGTCCTGGCTTATCTGTGTCCTGGTCTCAGGGGACCTGACTTATCGTGTAGATCTGGTTCCCGGATAGACCTCAGGTCGCGACGCGGAGAGGATGCACTTCCCGCCGCTGCTTAACTAGGTCAAATCAGCAAGTGTGCAAGCGTGAGCGCGTGACACGCGCGAGCGCCCTGCCTGGGCCATGGGAGGGGAGAGCGCGCGAGCGACGCTATTTCGCTGCAAGCACAGAGAGGTGCGGAAGGGTATCACTCCGCAGACCCTGCCAACCCTGACTTGGAGGCAAATGGCAAGAATGGAAAACATGGCGACGATCGCTGCCGCGACCACCCAGCGCGGCATTGCCGCGCCCGGTTGCGCGTCAGCAGTTGCTAACGCCCCGAATTGTGGATGGACGCACCAACTAGCTTGTAGCACGTCTCGGGAGCCTAAGTCAACCTTCATCCCCTCTCAAGGGCGCGTCGGCGCCCCTGGCGCTAGCCGCAAAAACGAACAAAATTACAGCGCCAAGGGAAGGGAGGGGGGTACTCCTTACAAGGCTGTGGGACAAACCACAACGCAGTTGGCGAGCCCCACGTAGAAACCTAAGAAAGAGCGCGATGGCGCCCGCCGCCCAGCGTCCGGCTCATAAGGCCTTCGGCCCGCCACCACGCCTCGGCGCACCAGAACGCTCAGAGCACAGTTCCAAAGCGTTTAGAAATGCCCCCCTGCTCGACCACCATCGCTCTACCAGCTCCACTCCTCATGCCATTGGTCGTCTCGGCCCCAGGTGCTGTTCCAACCGTGCCAGCTACCTGAGCCCCATCCCGAGCTCCACGACGTCAACTGGGCTCGTGAATCAGAAGGCCATAGAGGGAGCGGGTTTTCAACCTCCTCCGCAGCCTTCAATCGCATGTCCGTGCGCTGGCACCGCTCCGCTGCGTGTCCAGAGCCAGAACTGGACGATGTTGTCGCCCGCGGAGCCCGCAACGTTGGTCGGTCTGGCAGCTCCCACAGCGCATGCCTCGCGTCGCGGCGACGAAGTGCAGCCTGCCGATCCTGTGGCCCCTGGCTTCCGCGGCGCTTCAAGCGTTCACTCTTGAAGCCCCCGCTCGACGCACGCGCAGCGCTGGACCGGCCACTGGGCGGGAAAGAATGTGGGCGCTTGCCGCCCTGCTTGCCCTGATCACCTGGGTCTGCAGCACTGCGGACACAGTCGGCAGGTGCTGGCCCCCTCTTCGGTCCCCGCGGGGTCAACATCCTCCAGCAGTTCCCAACATTCCGACACCTCCTGCTCCATCTCGTCCCTCTCGAGTTCGAGAACGTCAGAACCTTCTCGGGGCAACCCTGCATGGCGAGCCACTGCTCCCAGCCGATCGACGGTTTGTAGGCGTCGGCGTCAGCACGGCGAGCGTAGTCCCAGTCGAACGGCTCGAACATGAAAAAGTTAGTTTCCTGGAGCGCCATCCTCATGCTGACATGCCGCCACCAGACACGCGAATGCACCAACGCATCAGGACCAGTAGCAAGGGTGCCAACGCACGCCTGGCGTTTGATCCAGCGCACGCCTTTCGACCGGCCTCGACTGCAACTGGGAGGAGTCATTCACGAGGAAATGGAATGGGGGAGAAGAAGGAGGAGGGGAGGAGGAGGAGGAGGAGGAGGATGAGGAGGAGGAGGCGGAGGAGGAGGAGGAGGAGGAGGAGGACTAAGAGGAGGAGGAGGATGAGAGGAAAGGAGGAGGAGGAGGAGGAGGAGGAGGAGCAGGACGAGCAGGAGGAGCAGGAGGAGCAGGAGGAGGATCAAAGTCCAGCAGCCCCAACCGAACCCGATGGAACGGGAGGGGCCCAATTGACAGGCGCCTCGGGGACTCCTGAGGCCCCAGAGGGGGCATCAGACCATAGGCCGATCCAGCACAGAAGACGGCACAGACCACACCAAAGCCCAATCCAACGACTGGGGGGGGCGGCGCCACCCTGGAGCGGAAAACACCGCAGGGGGGGCGGGGCTCCAGGAACGACGCCGAGCGAGGGCCCAATTCGGCCGCTGGCCGCGGCCCCGCTCGGCGACGCCGCGCCCCCGGCCAACCGCCAAGCCCCCCGCTCGCACTGGAGAGCGGCCGCCCTGCCACAGGGCCGCCCCGAAAGCCCGATCACCGAGGCTCGGGGCCAGCCCGCAGGCGGCGCTCCTCGGGGAACCAGCGCCCCCCGCAAGGGGGCGACGGCGGGCAGGCGAAGCCCGGGTGCGCCCCAGGGAGCTCAGGGCGACATCGGAGACCCACTCTTCGGCTCGACCCCCGCACTCAGCCTTTCAACGCAATATCGAACATGAGCCAAAGTCTTAGGATTCCTAGGAGGTCCTGAACATGGGCTCTTGAGCTTCTTGACATACTTACCGATGCGCAGACTGTGGCAACCGCGCCACTCGCAAATGCCCTCGGGACCCCATCGGATAACACGGCGGCCGTCACCTACGACGGGGGCCCCAGTGCACTTAGAAGCAAACAACGTTGTCAACTCTCTACAATCTGTGCTTCGCGCAGGCACCTGGTGCATCTAATCAGCGCGCCATGTGCGTGCTCAAATTCGTGTTCCGTGACCGACACCTTCGGGGTCCCCGATGCACATCTTTCAAATGGGGGTTCGAGCTGCAGCTCGCGGTGCACCCGAACTGCTCTGGGAACCAAAATAGTGGAAGTTGCCCTTTTCACGAACTCCCGATGATTCTCCATCGGCGCGTTGGCCACCTGAACATCAACAACCCCCAACGCACGCAAAGAAGTCCGCCCAACTGTGCCCAATAACAAGCGAAAGTCCATCTCCACTCTCAACGAAATCACACAAATCCCGATGGCCGGGCACCAACTCAAAACGGCACCGCTCCAGATCTTCACTGCTGACCTCGAAGATGGATCTCCAAATCGCAGCATGCGTCGACGTCGAGCTCGCAAGCAACTTATCCCATGCAGTCGCCTCCTTGACGATGCTGAGGGGATCCGAAACGATAAGGCCAGGTCCCCTCAAAGTTTTGAGCGCTAGCAATCCAGCATGCCGCTCACCTCGTGCAACCGACTGCTCAAGTCCAGGCAAGCTTTCATATCTGGCCCTCACTGGCCATCCAGACATAGGACCCAGCTGCACCGCAGCCCATTCTTCACGGCATAAAGCGGGGCGAGCAGTGCGCTGGCCAGACGCGTCGCAACAAGACACAGCATCCACTAACCAGAGCAAGCCCCCCCACTCGCACGCACCAGGCGCGCCCGACGGAGGCCCAGGCTGCAGCGGCCCCTTCAGGAATCCCGCAGGGTAGCTCGAACGCATCGCAATTATCTCCATTCTCGGCCACAAGCTCCCCACGTCCAGCTGAAAACGCAAGTGGCAGCAAGTCCGGCGTCATCAAGATATCGGCGCATTCATTCCATTGGCGCGCCAAAATACATCTCGTCGTCCCGCAGCGCAGACGCTGCCATGATTTGGACAGCCTCAGCTCGAACGCTGTGTCTGGGCACACTAGCCCTCCAGACCATAGTCGTCTAATAATACCTCTCAACGGACCAGGAGGTAGCTCCAGCACTTCCATGCGCGCGCGTAGCACGTCTCCAGATCTGCTCATATCCGATCCTCTCGCGCAGATGCTGCGCAACTCTCCTCACCTGCCAGCTATAAACCGGCAGGGCCAACTACTTCTTGATATCCTCGGTCGCCACCTGCAGGGGCGAGCGGTCGCATCCACGGTCGCTCCGCAGCAAAAAAGCACTAGACATGCCCCATCCCGGCCTCCAAAGCAGGGGCCGCGCCGCTGCGGCGGGCCCGCGGGCAAACTGCAACGCGGGCGTTGACTTGGACAACTTGCCCGACACAGCCTTTCACGCGCGAGTCAAATCTGAAGCTGGGGCCAACTGAGCACACATGTTGATCAACAACGTGCTGCAATCAAAAGTAGGGCCGCGTTGATCATTATCCTGAGTGGCAGGGTAGAGAACGAGTGCGGCGCATCGGGCGGCACCGACCATGCAACCAGCAAATGCGCGCATCTGCTTGAACACAGAACCCGCGGTTCCGCTCACCCACGCCCCGCGCCCAGCCGCTGGGGGCAACCCCACGCGCCGCGGAACGCCTCCTTTCTCATGAACTTGAGCTTTCAGCATCCACGCGTCGCGCTTTCGGCCCATCAAGGCCTGCATGCGCTCTTCCTCGTGGGGTCTCAGAACTCTGGCACCGAAAAGCTCCTGCCCAAGATTCCGAATGCGCCGCTTGGCCCGAAGCCGCACGCACTCAACGCCCGACTGGAAACCTCTGGCCACGCGGACCGTCGCAGTCACATACCCCGACTTGCCTTGCTGGAGAATCACACCCACGGGGGTCCCCTGCAAAGTTCCTCGCGCACGCGCGCAAGACAGCGCCCCCCCCCCCCCCCCCCCCCCCCCCCCCGCATCCTGATCCATTGCAGCACGATGTCATCCATCAACGCACGGGGCCTCGCGTGTCATCCATCAACGCACGGGGCCTCGCGTCGCCATGGCGCGCGCGCATGTTATCCATGGCCCTGAACAGGACACCTTAAAACGAAATAGTAGCGCGCGCACTACCAGCCAATATGCTCTGATATGACATGAGCATTCCACTCATATTGGAATAAGCTGCCACCGTCCATGGAATCGTTGATGTATGCAACATCACCCACGCGGGCCTCGCGGGGGTACCCGAGCACGCGCGCCGCAGGCATGATCGCATTGCACAATATGGTCTCGTAGCACTCGGACAGATCCACGAACGCCGCAATCGCGCGCTGCTCGCGCGCGCGGACTCTGCTTCGAGATTGCGTTGGAAGGCGCAGTCGCTGGATGCCCCCCAGCCCCATCCAGCCCAGGAGGCGGGGCGGGGGGGCGTCTTCCCCCACAGCGCGACGAGGGGCCGTCTAGCTCGGCCCGAGATCCTCGGGAATGCGGGGGGGGGGGGGGGCGACTAGACGCGCGCTGCCGCTCGCTTTGGGCAGCGCGCGCATATCTGCGACAAGTTGCAACTGCGGCTGCGTTGGCCGCTTCTCGCGCGCACCGCATAGCTTTGCCATCGCAACCAGGCCAGCAACTGAAATAAACCAGTTGCGCCTCGGCAGCATGCGCGCCTGCCCTCGCCGGATGCGCCCAGCAGAAGAAAGCGCGACGCGGCGAAGGTCTGGGCCGCGCGGCGGCGGCCGCAGTCCCCATTTTGCCGAGTCGACTGGCAAGAAGCCCCCCCGCGCCGCGCAGCTGCCAGGCGCGCGCCCATTTGCCCAGCTCGCCGTCGGCCAGCTCAGGAAGCGCCGACACCTCAGGGGCCCCCGAGACCGTCTGGACTTCTCGGGCCCTCGCGAAAGGATGAGCTGCGAGACCCCCGTCACGGTGAGCACCCCCCGCCCGCGTGGCCCGCGCTTGCTGCTTCCGTGCGGAGACGTCCTGGACCAGCTGCGCGGGCCTCGAGGGGTCGCGGGCCCACCCTAGCCCCATCCCCTTCTGCGCGCGGCGATGCGCCTGAAGCAGCCTGCGCAGTTCTCCGGGGCGCCAAACTCGCCGTGGACGCCATGCGAGCCCCGCCAGATGCACCCGAAGCGGGACCTGAGGGATCGCGGGGCCACCTCAGCCCCACCCCCATCTACCCCGGCGAGACGCCCAGGGCAGCTTGCGCAGTTCCTTGAGGCGCCGAACTCCCCGTCGTCGCCATGAGAGACCCACCAGATGCACTCGATGAGGGCCCCAGAGGATCGCGGGCCCACCCCGGCCCCGTCCCCTCTACCCCTGGCGAGGCGCATGGGTCGACCTGCGTCATTATCTGCGGCGCCAAACTCCCCGTCGTCGACATGAGAGACCAACCAAAAGCACCCGCTGGACGCCTAGCCTCCTCTCGGAGGTCCGCCGGCAGCGCAATTAACAGAGCGCCCACTCCTGGCGCGCGCGCTTCGCCCGCCACTCAGCAACCGCCCCAGCAGGGTCAGTTTCGTCACTAGCGTTGACCTTCACCTCGCCACTCCTCTGCTCTGCAACGCACTGGCTGCATCCTTTTCTGGACAGAAAGGGCAACGCCTTCTCGCCAGCAGTATCGCGTCTGCCAGCTAGCCCCACTTCCAACGCGTTAAGAACACTCAGCCATGCCACTGACAGACCCCCTTGGACTTCACCTCGCGCATCCGGTGCGCAGCAGACCCCCACGAGCACGGATCCTCCGCCATCTCACGGAGCAGCAGGGGGCTCGCCATCGCGTTTAGCCTCATGCTGACGGGCAAGCGCGGCTCGGCCTCAGCTCCCCGCTTCCACGCGCGGCCTCTTCACTCGCCCAGCCAGCCTCTCATCGATCAAGAAATAGTCGATGATCGACCCTGGCAGCGATCGACGACGCGTCGATGTTCTGGTCGTGGCAAGCAAGCCCCCGATCGACAGCAACCAGTCCTGGCTCGCGAGGCCCACGCTCGACATTTTGATGTCGCCCCCGACAATCCAAGACATCCCAATGCATCTCATCTGGCTCACGCGCCTGAGCGAGGCCTGGAGGGCCGCGATGTTCCTCGCAGACAGGCCTTCACTAACATGCAAGCATCGACCTGCATGCCCGAGTCGTCACCCTTGGCGTCCACGTGCTTGCGCAGTTCGGCAAGCGGTTTCTCAAAGACCTTCTCCCGCGCTGAGTTACCCTGCTCCGTATTTTTAGAGCTCCTGGTCGACATCATAGATCAGGATGGCGCCTTCGGCGACCTTCGAAATAATGATAAAAAAGCTCCTGTCACAGCCGCAGGCGCCACCACAGACTTTGTCTGCCGCTGTGTTCCACCACCTGTCGCCCGACCTGTTGGTGCACCACCCGAAAAGCCACGGTTTGGCCCACGCCATCCGACCCTGTTGGTGGCGAGAAGCCTGAGACGTCGCGCGCTCTCCACAAACTCAAGATTTCAACACAAGGAAGTGGGCCACCAGTGAGCCCCTGCGGTACTGGCAGAATGACAGGGATGTCGAGCGCAAGCGGTCTGGCAATGGCCGCGAACTAGCGGTATCCGTGCGTTCCGCTGCGGAACGCATCGGTCTTGAACCACAATGGCTGCGAACAGGAGGAGGAGGAAGAAAAGGAGGAGGAGAAGCAGGAGGAGGAGGAACAGGAAGAACAGGAGGAGGACGAGGAGGAGCAGGAGGAGGAGGAGGAAAAGGAGGAGGAGGAACGCTCTTTTGGGGTTGCCCTTGTGCCCTCCTCCTCCTCCTCCTCCTCCTCCTCCTCATCATCGTTTTCCTTCTCATCATCCTCCTGCTCCTCCTCCTCCTCCTCCTCTTCCTCCTCCTCCTCTCTTCCTCTCTTCCTCCTCCTCCTCCTCCTCCTCCTCCTCCACTTCCCCTCCTCCTCCTCCTCCTCCTCCTCCTCCTCCTCCTCCTCCTCCTCCTCCTCCTCCTCCTCCTCCTCCTCCTCCTCCTCCTCCTCCTACGCCTACTCGTACTCCTACTCCTCCTACTCCTCCACGCCGCCAGTGGGCAGGCGGGGCGGCTTGTCCCTGCGCCGCCTCCTGCTCCTCCGCGTATTGGCCCCACGCGGCGCGGACGACCTGGCGGCGCGCCCGTCCGTTCCAGGTAACGATCCTTCTCCTCTTCCTCCTCCTCCTCCTCCTGCTCCTCCTCCTCCTGCTCCTCCTCCTCCTGCTCCTCCTCCCTGCCCTCCTCATCCTCCTCATGTTCTCCTGCCTCCTCCTCCTGCTTCTCCTCTTCCTCCTCCTCTCCTCCTCCTCTCCCCTCCTCGTCGTCCTCTTCTCCTCTTCCTCCTCCTCCTCCTCTCCTTCCTCCTCCTCCTCCTCCTCCTCGTCGCCCCTCTCCTCCTCCTCCTCCTCCTCCCTCCGCTTCTTCCTCCTCCTGCTCCTCCTCCTCCTCCTCCTCCCCCTCCTCCTCGTCCTCGTCCTCGTCCTCCTCCTCCTCCTCCTTCTCCTTGTCCTCCTGCATTATTTTCGCTTGTACATAACTTCTCCTTGTCGCACCCCGGGGCCAGTGTTTAGGGCGGGCTGGGCGTTTCGCGTGAGACGTCCTCACCATGTATGACCCTGGAGCTTAAACATTGACAGCCGTTTCATAGATGGAAGACAAGTCGTTTTCAACATGTGGCTCTCGCTTCAGCGCAGCGCACATTCGTTTTCAAAAGTTACAAGAGTTTCACAGATGGAGGGCGGGTGGTTTTCAAAATGTGACTCTCGCCTGAGCGCCACGTACATTTGTTGTCAAAAACAAGAGCTTCACGGACTGAGGGCGGGTGGTTTTCAACATGCGGCTCTCGCCTTAGCGACGCGCACATTCGTTTCAAACATGTGCAAGGGTTTCAATGATTGGGGGCGGGTCGTTTTCAAAATGTGGCTCTCGCCGTAGTGCCGCGCATGTTCGTTTCACACATTTGCAAGTTTCACGGGTTGAGGGCGGTTCGTTTTCAAAAATGCACATTCGTTTCAAAAAATGCAAGAGTTTCACGGGTTGAGGGCGGCTCTGTTTCAAACTGTGGTTTTCGGTTTAGCGCCGCGCACATTATTGTTGAACATCTGCAAGAGCTTCACTGGTTCCCATGATCGGCGTGCCAGAAATTGCGTTTTGGAAGGATTCACGGTTTTGAGGGCGCAGTAGTTACGATGACTCGCAACGTTGAGGTGCGATACATGGCGTTCTGGCACGATTCAGGATTGCCAAGACGTAACATTCAAGTTCATCCGTGGCGTTGGAATGCAGAGAACGTGTTGGCATGCTTCAGGGTTGTCAAAAGGTTGTCTTCAAACGAGGCAGGTCCCTCTGTGGAAATAAACCGCTGTAGGGGCCTATGATGAGGGAGCTTGGGGGGGTTATTCCAGCATCGTGGGTGGCTCTGGGGTTTGCACTGGTCCTCCTCCTCTTCAACCTCCTCCTTTTCCTCCTCCTCCTCCTCTTCCCCCTCCTCCTCCTCATCCTCCCCCTCCGCCTTCACCCACTCCCTTTTCCTCATCCCCGCCATCCACAATTACACAATATGAATACTACTCTCCCACTTCCCCTGATGGCGTCCGGAAGATGTTCGGCACCCCCCCGCGTACTGTTTTTTTACACACAGGATTCCCCGGAGTTGGGTTTTCGCTTGTGTTTTTTTCTAAAATGCTGCTCTCGCTGAGGCGCTGGCCTAATTTTCGGGCTCCCGCTCCTTCCGAATCGTGTTCCCGCTGCAGCGCTGGCCTCATTTCCGCGCTCCCGCTCGTTCCGAATCGTGCTCCCGCTGCAGCGCTGGCCCAATTTCTGCGCCTCTCGTTGTTCCAAAACGTGCTCCCGCTGCAGCGCCGACGTTTTCGATCCTTTTTAAGAAGCCCCAAATCTAGAAAATGATCCCCGGCAAAAACATTGGAGGTGATTACACATCCGGTGTCGATTCGTTGATTTTTGGGGCCGCAGAAAGCCCCCCCCCCCTTTTGGGCGGCGTCGTTTTCCGCACAGGATTCCCGGGAGTTTGGTTTTATATGTTTTTGAATATCCGAGTCTTTCCGGTCCTTCAGAATGTTGCTCCCGCTGCAGCGTTCGTCCTATTTTCCGCGCCGCTGGTCGTTCCAAATCGTGCTGCCGCTGCAGTGCAACGGTCCCCGGCCCCATGCTATGATATGCTCCGCTCCAGTGGCGTTCTTCGGCTCTTCAACAATGGTGCTCCCGCTGCAGCGTTGGTCCCATGTCTGCGCCTCTGCTCATTCCAAATCGTGCTGCCGTATTGTTTTCTTGGCACTACGGCACTCTTCGGCTCTTCAACATGTCGCTCCCGCTGCAGCGTCGGTCCCATTTCTGCGCCTCTGGTCGTTCCAGATCGTGCTGCCGCTCCGGCGCGGTCGCGTCGTCGTCGTCGTCGTCTTCGTCGCCGGTCGTCCTCATCGTCGTCGTCGTCGTCGTCGCCGCCGTCGTCGTCGTCGTCGTGGTTGTCGTCGTCGTCGTCGTCTTCGTCGTCGTCGTCTTCGTTTTCATCGCGCCGTCGTCCTCCTCCTTTCCCTCTTAGGTAACAGGGTCAGATGCGAAGCCCGATTCGGTGAGAGGACAATGAAGTAGCTCAATGGGAAGGGATGGGAGGGAGGGGTAGGATGTCAGATGTTGACGCGAGCGCACCTAGCTTGGCGCCACCCCCTCTCTTTCCCCTCCTGTCACCCTCTTCCCCTGGAGGCCTCCCGAGGCCTCCAGGGGCCGCACAAGAACCCAACGCCGTCAACACGTATCGACATCCATCGATCGTTCGATCCTTCAATCCTCTGATGTCCTCCTCGTCGTCGTCGTCGGCGGCGGCGTCGGCGTCGGCGGGGGCGGCGGCGGCGGTGGCGGCGTCCTGGGGCCCAGCGGAGGGGCGCCAGCGGCCACGGGGTGGGGGCGTGCGCGCCATGCACGTCATGGCCACGAGCAGCGCCGAGAGCAGCAGCACGATGGCGGCGTCCTGCGGGCCAGCGACGCGCGCGGACTGGGCGCCGCGTCCGTGGAGGATCGCGGGCGACGTCGGCTGACCACCTCCTCATCCCCCTCCTCCCGCCTCCACGACGCCTGTTCCTCCTCATCATCATTCTTCTTCTCCGCCTCCACCACCACCACCTCCTCCTCCTACTCATCCTCCTCTTCCTCCTTCTTGTCCGCCTCCACCACCACCTCCTCCTCCTCCTCATCATCATCATCATCCTCATCCGTTTCCACCTCCTCCTCTTCCTCCTCTTCCTCCTCCTCCCCCTTCCCTTTCGTCCCCCTCCTTCTCCTCCCCCTCCTCCACCACCCCTCGTTGTGGATTACTGGCCTACTCGTTACATCGAATGCCATACAAATACAGCACCCTGCAATGAACAACTTACACAACTCCCCTCGCCGCCTGCAATTACGGCCCGAAGGTGGGAGAGTGAGGGGACTAGATCTGGGAAGGTCAATGATGGCAGGAGCCTCCGTTTGAGCTTCCTGCTCTCAGACCACCTTCCAGTCGCAAAGGCATCTCAGCTTTGGACCCGCTTTACAAGTAAGACACCGCAAAACAGCGCAATGCACCACAAGGACTCCAGAGCCAACAACCCAAGCAACATGTAACGTGCGGCGATTCCTGGGGCCGGGCAAACCAAAACTCTCGAACGACGGGCTCAAGCCAGAACACTCGGCGCTGACCACCACTTTGGGCCCCAGGTAACGGAAACACCAATTACACGCGCTTGCCCTCACGCCGCATGGGAACGCAGGGGGTTGACGCGTCTGGCGAGTCGGCGCTTCGGACCACCCTGAGAACGACCCAGCTCACCCAATTCGCCAAAACTCGGCCACTCCGCGAGAACCTTCCCTACGCCGTGAATCAAGGACAGGTGCAGCTTAGTTGTCTTAGTGCTAAGGTCATCTGCAGAGCTACTGTAAGCATGGGATCGAACGGCTAGGCCTGCATGGTGGTCGGTCATACGGTTGCCCCTGCAGAGAATCTTGTGCTCTTCAGCGGGCAACTCGTCCTCATTCTGATGTCCATTGACGTTTGCGGGAGGGGAAGGCCGTCAGGGCAGAGTCGGGCGATCTCACTCCAAACGCGGGCCAGGGCGTTTGCGCTCGACCAAGCCCAAGGGAAAAAAGGCCGAAGCTGCCAGAAGCGTGGCGCATTCGACGCGCAGGCGGCCTGCAACGCAAGTGTCCTGACCGCACACACACAAGACAAAACGGGCCGCACCATGATCCGCAGTCCCACTGCCCTGCGCCATGGCACCTGGGAGCGGGCTGCGCAGCCCCCGGACTCGAGGCCCCCAGGCCCCCTCACCTGGACCGCCCTAACGCCCGCTCGGGAGATGCGGCCGAGGCGCGGGTGGAGGCGGGATCCATCGGTGAAGAGGTCGGCGCCTGAAGAGAAATCAAGCGGGGCAATGGATTGCCCATTTCCACCAGAGGAAGTCAACTGCCAATCGCTAGCAGGAGGCTCGCTGCTGGCGTCACGGCGAGAAATCCGCCCTCTGTTGTGCAGTAAGGATGCGCGCCCCTCCTCGATGGCAGCTCTGACTAGCTCGAGCGGAAAGACGTCTCCCCTGACGGCGGATGCTCGAGGGCAGCCGCGCTTCCAAACTCTGTGCCGAGGGGTGTCTTCCTCCCCGCGTATCTCGCACAGGGTTGGGACATTGCGCCCCCGCCCCTTCAGGACCAAGCCTGCGTGGGGGGGGCCGCAAAAGAACCGGCAAAACTGCGCCTTCTCGGTTCGGCCTAGGTCAACCGCGCGAGGCGCGAGCAGCTGGCGCGGCAGCTCCCACCACAAGCCAAAGGCCCCGAGATCAGCCGCGTTGTGCGGGGACCTAGCGCAGACCGATTTGACATGGTCTTGAATATACATATCCTTTAATCGGTCGGCAAACTTCCGCGCGGCGGGCGAGGGCAAAACTTCCATTAAATGACAAACTGCACCGAAGCAGTCCTCCGGGATCCCAGGGCCCTGGGTGGCCCAGCGGGCCTCCTCAACCCGAAGAGAGGCGCCCGAAAAAAGCCAGCGGATCCTGAAAAACATAATCTTACCCTTGGAGCAGGAGACTCCATCCAGGGCCAACTGGCGGGCTCTGGCAAGGGCGGCAGGGGGCGGGGCGCCGCGACGAGGCAACTCAGCTGAGCGCCAGGGTAGACATCCACCATTCAGTTGCCACCCCCCAGCTGTCTTAGAAGCAAAATCGACGGGGCCCGACAGGCAACAAATACTGCATGCTAAATCTAGCTGGGCTCCTCTGAACGAAACTCCTCCATCTCCTCCTGCCTGCGCACGCGCTTGCCTGATCCTGCTGGGGCCGAAAGCGTGGACCTCAGCGCCGTAGGAGAGGGTAGGTTGGGAGTTGGTCTGGAACAGCCCATTGCGATGCCCAGCTTTCCACTTCGCGCCTTTCACCCGAGCTCTTGTATATCTGCATGCCCTTATCCTTTCGCGTCTCCTTCGCTTCGCCCCAGGTCTAAGTCTGCGCCTGCCTCCGAGGCGGCCGACGCCAAGGTTGGCCACGGCTCCGCAAGGGGGGCCGAGGTCCTCCGGAGTCCCCGGGGGCATGATAAGCAGTCTGGAGAAGGTGCCCACGCGAGGCCGCCAAGCCAAACTTGTGCGCCACGGGGAGCTGGAGGCTCTGGGCGAGGAAACTATGGACTGGCACAGCAACCTCCTCAAGCCCGTTCACAACTTCAGACGTCTGGTCTCCCCACTGCATCAGCGCGATGTCATCGACGTTGAGAGAGAGCGCGGCTGCGTCGGGCATGCTCTCTGCGAAACTGCACGCGGACGGCTCGAGGAAACTGCTGCCTCGCACGCGGCCAACGTGGGGCTTGCAACTACCCCACGCTTCGGGAAAAGAGCCTGGTCCACGTGACCATCCAGCAACTCGTGCACGGGTCACTTGTAGGCGAGAAGATAAGGCGAGGAGGGCGCCGGTACAACTGTCCAGCCTTGATCAACAAGTCATGCGATACATGTTCGTGGAAGCGTTTGATGTCTCGCAGCACCTGCAGAGAGAAGCCTCCAGAGAGCCCAACGAGCTCCGAGATAACGCTTTGCCTCCGCGCGGCATCTGCAGGGGGCCTCTTGGACGCCACAAAGAAATCCATTGAGGCCACGTTGGAGCTCCAGTCTCCAGCAACACCTTTTTGTAGCTTGCCAAAAACTCGAACCAAACAAGGGCAATGGCCAAGAGGGCGTTCGGCGTCGACCTCGGGCTCCGGGGCCAGGAAGATGACGGGCCTACTAATGCGAGACGGTGCCCTGCGCGTGATCTGCGCGAGCTGGAATATCAAAGTCATGACGTTGAGCGCCTCGTCAGACAGGAACGAGAAGTATCTTGAATGCCAACCGTCAGGCGTGACACGTGGCGGTCTTGGAACTCCTGGACCGCCCGCGGCGCCAGTCCGCGCCTGGCCTAGCGCCGACAGCGCGCCTCGGCGGCGCGTCTACACAAGGACTGGGGGTGGTGGTCGCAACCCCAGCTCGGACCAAATCTGACGGTGGTGCTTAAACCTTTTGTCACAATATGCTTTAGAGGACCTCGCCTATCTGTTCGTCCGTGAAGTCTCTGTCGGGCCCATGGGCGGCATGCTGACGCGGTCGTGCATTCGAGGAACTTCTGGGCCCCAGCGTCGTCAATAGCTTTGGCAATAGCCAACCCAGCCTTTTCTGCCCAGATGTTTCCTACATATGCAGGCGCTATCCTGCAGGGCAGTGGCGAAAGAGACGAGGTCGACCAAAATTTCCCAGTCCCCCGCGGGCCCCCGAGGAGGATCGCACCAGTGGCCCTCAGGATCGGGCGCCAGAAGTCGACGCCGAGCCTCCGTGCACTCCTGAAAAGGCCGCCTGCACGGCCCCACGGAACGAGCTGGCTGGCGAGAGAGCGGAGATGGGGGCGGGCGCCAGCGGCGCCCCCCCCCCGTTGGCGACGGCTCGGGTCTCGCGCGGCCCAATCGCGACCCAGCCGATGGCCCCGGGGGGCCGGGGGGGGGGATGCAGAAAACTCCGCGCGGGCCCGCCCCGGCGGCGGCGTCGATTTTTCGCGCCGCGCGCCGCCGCTCCAAGCAGAGCAGGTCTCGTCGAGGAGCGGCGGCATCGCGCGCGGGGCCCTCAGGCGTAGAGCGCCCAGCACCAGGGCCCCCAGTGCCGTCAAAAAATGGCACGATCCGATCGAGCATCGCGCCGTAGTCAGGCGGGGGCAGGAGGGGTGCCGAAAGGCACCGATGAGGGGGCCTTCTGGCGCGGCTTCGGTCGAGGACCCGTTCGGCAATCGAGCTTGCAATCGATCGGAAACTCGACGGGTCGATGCGGCTCGAAGTGGATCGAGAGGTCTGCGGCGACGTCGCAGGTCCCCTCGAGGCCCCTGTGCGCCACGAAAAAACCCTCCGACCCTGTCGGCGTGCGTGAGGGGCTTGTCCGTACAAGTCGTCATCTCCGTCATTCGTTGGTCGTCGTCCCTGTCGCCTCCTTTTCCTGCCCCCCCTTCCCCGGCCTCGTCGAAGCCCCCCCTTTTCTAGGGGCCTCCTCAGCGCGCCAACCAAAGCGAAGTTGAACAACATCGTAATACAATCGAATGGAAGCCCCTTCCCTTCGATCCCTTCCCCGCCGGGGGGGGGTGCCGGGGGGGGGGCCGGGGGGGGGGGCCCAGGGGGGGGTCAGCGCTCCCCCGGGGAGTCCCTGAGCCCAAGAAAGCCCCAAGACGGCCAAGAGTGCCCCAAGAGGCCCAGAGACAATCCAAGAAAACCCCGAATCGCCGAACGATCTGTCCAAGACGCCTCGACGGCCTCCAGACGGCCCAAGAGGCCTGCAAAGCGCCCCAAGAGGCCTCCTGGAGCTTCTCACGAGAGCCCCAAGAGGCAAAATTCATTGATTTCCCATCGTTTTTTCTACCCAGTGTCGCCCCTTGCCCCCCCCCGCTTCCCGACGCGCCAAGACGGCCCAAGGCCCCCAAGATCGCCCCGAGACGGCCCAAG